GGTACATGGTCTCCCTGATAAGTGGATGCTAAATCCAAAATGTTAGGTGATACGACAAAACTAACAGGACCTAAGAAACAAAGAACTCCTACTCATCTGGTCGAACCACTACTAAATATCCCCATGCTGCTGATCACATGTATGGTACATGTGTACACCATTATATGTTATAGACTGTGATAGACAATTTGCTCCAGGAAAGTTAGAATGAACTTGTGACTTTAAATGAGCATCATTATTCCACAATACTGTGAAATTTGGGAAATTATGTAATCACTTAATCACAATTAAAAAAAAAGAACCTTGAGGAAGGTAGGGAGGGAAGGGATGGTAGGGGGAAAACAAGGGAGGGGGTAACAATGCCCAATAGGAAGTGTACTCTTTACCTTACTCATGTAACTGTAACCCTCTGTATAGTATCTTTACAATAAAAAATAAATAAAAATAGTATACATGTCTGTGTAAGGAATTGCCAAGAAAAATTAAAGAAGGCCTAGATAATTGAAAAGATATACCATGTTTCAAAAATTGAAATATGGGAGGGGGGAATGGGAAGGGATGTTAATGGGAAACAAAGGAGGAGGCAACAATGCTTGATAAGAAATGTACTCATTACCTTGCTCATGTAATTGTAACACTTCTCTCCAGTATTTTCACAATTTAAATAAATAAATATATGCTGGGCACTGGTGGATCACACCTGTAATCCTACCTACTCAGGAAGCTGAGATCTGAGGATAGCTGTTTAAAGCTAGCCCAGTCAGTAAAGTCCAAGAGATCCTTATCTCCAATTAACACCAGAATGCTGGAAGTGGTGCTGTGGCGCAAGTGGTAGAGCACTTGCCTTGAGCTGAAGAGTTGAGGGACAGTGCCCAGGCCCAGAGTTCAAGCCCCACGACCAGCCAAAAAATAAATAAAAATTAAAATGCGGACAATACAAAAATAAAATACAAACAAGGCTGAAAGAACTCAAGAGGCAAAGAAAGCACTTGCCTAGAACATGCAAGGGTACAGTCACAAAACATAAAAACAATTCAAAAGGAAATGAAAAAGCAAATAGAAAATATTCACAGTACATATTTTGTATCATGAATGCATGCTCACCTTACAAAGGATTTATATCTAAAATACATAAATTGTCAGATAAGGTGATGTTAGGGAAATGAACCCTAAGATATGTATTCAAATGTTTTTTTTTTCTCTCATGTGAATGTTTCTAACACATTTATAAGATTATTTCTTTGTTGCTTTGTATGTCCCTCCCCCACAGTATAACCCCTGCTTTTACTGTATTTGATGTCGGTATAATTTGTGGAGGGGAAGGGAAAAAACAAATCGTTTAACTAGGGATACAGGTGGACCCATTGCAACAATGAGATGTACAAATCGTTATGTCGAGAACGAACTTTACAACTTTGGTGGGGGGGGTGCAGGAGGATGGGGGGAGGAGGATGGGAAGGGATGGGAAGGGGAAACAAAGGAGGAGGCTACAATGCTTGATAAGAAATGTACTCATTATCTGGCCCATGTAATTGTAACTCCTCTGTACAGTATTTTCACAATAAAAAAAAAGAAAAAGAAAACACTGTAAAAAAATAAAAAATAAAATACATAAATTGTAAAAAGACAAATTTAGCTTTAAATGGGAAAATATTCTAACAAATACTTCATTTTGTATAAAAGATATATATGTGAAAACTAAGAACATGAAAAGATGTGTAACATCATTAACATGGGGAAATATGAATTAAATCAAAAAGCAGCATATGTAGGAGCATAGACTTGTAGTTCTAGTTATTCAGAAGGTTCAAATAGGAAGGTAACTTGCACCCAGGAGTGGAAGATCAGCCTGGGCAACATAGTGAGATCCTTCTTAAAACAATAGTCTTAGGACAGGTGCTGGTGGCTCATGCCTGCCCTGCTAGCTACTCAGGAGGCTAAGATTTGAGGATCATAGTTTAAAGGCAACCTGGGCAGACAAATCTGAAAGATTCCTTTCCTCTGTTAATCAGCAAGTCAGGAAATAGAAGTGTGTTTCAAGTGGTAGAGTACCAGCCTTAAGCAAAGAAGCCACACAAAAACAGAGGAGGCTCTGAGTTCAACTCCTAGGACACATACATACACAATAGTCTTAGTAGAATAAATATGTTATATCCATGTAGCTATTACTAGCTAATAGCAGTTAATAAACTGCTAGGCACTGGTGGGTCACACCTGTAATCCTAGCTGAGAGGCTGAGATCTGAGGATCTTGGTTTGAAGCAAGCCTGGGCACAAAAGTCCATGCAACTCTTATCCCTAATAAACTACTTGGAAAAAGCCCAAGTGGTGCTGTGACTCTAGTGTTAGACCACTAGCCTTGAGCAAAAGCAGCTCAGGAAATGGCGCCCAGGCCCTGAGCTCAAGCATCAGGACTGGCAAAAAAAAAAAAAAAGTATAAACCATTGATACAGATAACAACATGAGTGAATCACAAAGATGTGGGGCTTGAACTCAGGGCCTAGGCACTGTCCCTGAGCCTCTGTACTCAAGCCTAGAGCTCTACCACTTGAGCTACAGCTCCACTTCTAGTTTTTGAGTGGTTTATTGGCGATAAAAGTCTCACAGGGACTTTTTTGCCCAGGCTAGCTTCCAACCAAAACCCTCCATCTTAGCCTCCTGCGTAGCTAGGATTACAGGCGTGAGCCACTGACACCTGGCTCAAAGTACTATCTTAAGTGGGAAAGGTAAGAAACAAATACTACTTACAATATGATTCTATTTATGTGAAATTCTAGAGAAGGCAAAACTAGTAACAGAAAGCAAATCACTGTCAGGGCCTAGGATTGGGAGAAAGTCAAGAGGTTAGTCAGCCACCAGTGGTTCACACTTGTAATCCAAGGTACTCAAGAGGCTGAGCTCTGAGGATCATAGTGCAAAGCCAGCCAGGGCAAGAAAGTCCATGAGCTGCTAATAACTAATAAACTATTCAGAAGAAGCTGAAAGTGGTGCTGTGGCTTAAGTGGTAGAGGACTAGCCTTGAACACAAAGAGGCTTAGAGACAGTAACCTAGTCCCTGAGTCCAGGCCCCAGGACAGGTTAAAAAAAAAGGCAAGAGGTTTTGCAGGAGTTACACCACAGCAAAGTGGCAGAGCCAGGTTTCATTTGCATTAAAAGTTTGTGTTCTTAAGTGGTATGCCCTGTTGTTCAATGGCCATAATCTCCCTGGATCCTTTCATCTTTGCTTACCTGTATCTGCTGACAAAAGTCCTGGTGGAAGACAAGGTAGAGAAAGCCACGCTCCTCAAAGTGAGCCTTCCTTCCTGCAGCCGGGCAACTCCTTGCAGCCAGACCTGCAAGCCCTTTTCAAGACTCTTTCAAGAGGGCCAGAGAAGCTATTTATAGGGAGAAATCACTCCAAATGTGGGCCCACATGCCACCACCCACAGGTCTCCATTGAAGAAGCTTCCTGTCCCTAGAGGGCCCTCTCCTTATGAGCCATCCTCTGCTCATTTTCATGTGACTTCAAGGAAAGAAACAGGGGGCAGAGCTCACTGTCTTAATGAGTCACTAGATGCTCCCATGAGAAACCCCTCACCCCTTTGTGCCAGTATTAGAGCTTGAACTCAAGGCCTGGCTCTGTCCCTGAGCTTTCTGCTCAAGCCATTGCTCTACCACTTGAGTCACAGCGCTACTTCTACCTTTGTGGTGATTAATTGGAGATCATTTTTCTGCTGCTTTTGTTTTCTTTTTGTCTTGTTTATTCATTTATATGTCTTTGGGAGTATAAGGGGAGGCACAGAAATGGAATGACAAAGCTGAGCAAATGCAGCGGTGGTACTCACTAGACATTCTGTTGAAAATGAATTATATAACTTGTGGGTGGGGATGGGAGGGCAAAACTGAGAGAGAGCGGAAGAAGGGGTGACAGTATCCAAAAGGAGCTCTTTGCCTGATTTCTGTAACTGCAACCCCTTTCCTTTCAGCATTTTCAAAAAAAATAGTTCTTTAAAAAAAGTCTCAAGGACTTTCCTTCCAGCAATCATCAGATCTCAGTCTCTTGAATGGCTAGGACTATAGGCATGAGCCACCAGCTCCCCCCCCCCCGCCCCCCATCTCTTTTCCCCTACACTTTTTGCTCCTACCTCCTCACAGAATCCAGGCCCTGTGGTAAAACAGCTGTTCCTTCTCATTTTCTTTTTTTTTGTCAGTCGTGGGGCCTGAACTCTGGGTCTGGGTGCCATCCCTGAGCTCTTCAGCTCAAGGTTAGTGCTTTACCACTTGAGACACAGTGCCACTTGGGGTTTTTTCTGCTTATGTGGTGCTGAGGAATCGAACCCAGGGCCTCAGGCATGCAAGGCAAGCATTCTTACCACTGAGCCACCTTCCCAGCCCCCTTCTCACTTTGTTTACTTTGCCTCAGTGCCTGGCTTCTGGACTAACCTTCTGACTTTCATGCAAGGCCCAGGGCAGCGTGCTCTTGTACCTATCCCAGCAAACCACTGAGTGTTTAGTGCTGCTATATGCATGGGAGACAGCTTTGACAAGTTTCTACTTAAGAGCTAATTCCATGAAGAATAATGAAAGGACAAAGGTTGGACAAATGAAGAAGTGTTACTCACTAGGCACTACGCTGAAAATGAGCTATACAACGTGGGCGGGGATGGGAGGGGAAATCCAGGACTGAGGGAAGGGGTAACACTTCAAAAAGAAATGTACTCATTAGCTGATTTGTGAAACAGTAACCCCTCTGTATATCACTTTTATAGCAACAATTAAAAAACAGTTTTTAAAAAGAACTAATTCACACTTCCTCAGCAAAGACGTTCCTGATTTCCTCAGAGTCAGGCACAGCTTTTTCTCTGTTCCCACCGGATTATAAAATTTCCATTTCATGGAAAACAATAAAAGGTACAAAAGATATTTGTAAAAGTTGATGGATTTTCCTATGAATACCCAAGAGAAGCACCACACAGACCAAGACAACAACGCGTCCAAACCCCTCACGGCTCCATGGCGTCTCTCCCATCATTGTACCCAGCACCTAATGGTAACTGTTATTTTGGCTTTTATCCTTTTTGGTAAGGTTTTGATTATTCTTATATTTCATTTGTGTCTGGCTTTCTTCAATATTCTGTGAGGTTTATACACCACTTAATTCTTTTTTCATTCCTAAACATGATTTGATTATATAAATACTTTAAATTTTAATTTACTCTTGATGGATATTTAGATGATTGATGATGATGACAATGACAATGATGATGATCATTTTTTTGTGCCAGTTCTGGGGCTTGAACTCAGAGCCAGGGCACTGTCCCAAGCTTTTTGTGCTCAAGGCTAGTGCTCTACCAAAGGTAGCACAGCTCCACTTCTGGCTTTTCTTTTCTGGCGGATAATTGGAGATACAAGCTTCACAGTCTTTCCTTCTCCCACCTTGTTTTAAATCACCACACTCAGTTATCAGCCTTTTTATTTTTATTTTTTTGTTGGTCATGGGACTTGGACTCTGGGCCTGGGCACTGTCCCTGGGCTCTTCAGCTCAAGGTGAGCTCTCTACTACTTGAGCCACAGTGCCACTTATGGTTTTCTGGTGGTTAATTGGAGATAAGAGTTTCACAGACTTTTCTGCCTGGGCTGGCTTTGAACCATGATCCTCAGATCTCAGTCTCCTGAGTAGCTAGGATTACAGGCGTGAACCAGCAGTGCCTGGCAGTTCTCAGCCTTTTAAGTAGCTAGGATTATGGGTGTAAGCCACTAACACCTAGCCTGTTGATGAGTTTGTGCTGGTAGTGGGACTTAAAGTTAAGGCTTCACGCTCTTAACCTTTTCTGCTCAAGGTTGGTGCTCTACCACTTGAGCCATACTTCACTTCCTTAGGTTATTATCTTTTATGTGTGTTCCAGTCCTGATGCTTGAATTTATGGCCTGGGCACTGTCCCTCAGCTTTTTTACTCAAAGCTGACACTCTACCACTTGAGCCTCAGTTCCACTGCCAGCTTTTTGCTGGTTAATTGAAGACTCTCACAGTCTTTCCTGCTAAGGCTGGCTTTGAACCTCAATCCTCAGATTTTAGCCTACCGAGAACCTAGGATTACAGAAGTGAGCTACCAGTACACAACTTACCCATATCTTTTGAAAGAACTTTGTACTATTTTCCAGGAACTAAAAATAGTATATCTACCCCTAAAAGTAGTATTTCTGGATCTTGGGTGAATGTTTTATTTTGTCAGTTATTGCCAGATAGTTTCCTAAAGTGTTCTGCCAGCTCATGCTCCTTCAGCAGTGTATGACTTCCAGTTTCTCCACATACTCAGAGTTTTAGTTTTAGGCTCTCTGGTAGGCGTTTAGTGGTATTGTTTTGTGGTTTAATTTGCAGTTTCTTGATGAGGTAAGTGTCTTTTGTGTATTTATTTGCCATCTTCTCTTTTTTGTAGTTTTTAAAAAATAATTTGGTTACTTTCCCTGTTATTTTATTAACTTTATTTATTTATTGTTTATGTCATACTAAGGAATCAAACCCAGGTCCTCAGGCTTGCTGGGCAAGCACTCTACCATTAAGAGCTCATGTCCTGCCCTAGTTTTTATAAACCTAGTATTTTGTTTTTTCTTCCTTTTTAAATTTGGGAATCCTTTTATGTAATGTTTCTGTTCATGTTTTTTGCTCTTTCCTTCCGATCAATTTTTTTTGAGGGGTAGAGGGAGTGTTAGTCATGCAGCTTGAACTCAGGGCCTGGGTGCTGCCCATGAGATTTTTTTGTTCAAGGCTACTATTGTACGATTTGAGCCACAGCTCTACTTTTGGATTTTATGGTTAATTGGAAATAAGTCTCATGTAAGGGAATATGGCTTAGTGGTAGAGTGCTTCCCTAACATGCCTTAAATCTCGGGTTCGATTCCTCAGTACCACATAAACAAAAGCTGAAAGTAGTGCTGTGGCTCAAGTGGTAGAACACTAGCCTAAAGCAAAAAGAAGCTTAGGGACAGAGCCCAGGCATTGAGTTCAAACCCCAGGACTGGCAAAAAAAAAAAAAAAGAGGTCGGTGGCTCACGCCTGTAATCCTAGCTACCCAGGAGGCTGAGATCTAAGGATCAAGGTTCAAAGTCAGCCCAAGCAGAAAAGTCCGTGAGACTCTGATCTCCAATAAACCACTAGAAAACCAGAAGTGGCGCTGTGGCTCAAGAGGCAGAGCACTCGCTTTGAGCTGAAGAGCACAGGGACAGGGCCCAGGCCGAGTTCAAGCCCCACGACTGACAAAAAAAAAGAGTCTCATGGATTTTCTTGACCAGGATGGCTTTGAACTACAATCCTCAGCTCTCAGTTTACTGAATAGATAAAATAACAGGTATGAGCGACTGGCACCTGGCCAACAAGGCATTTTAAGAAGCTGTCTACTTGCATAAACAGGCACGCTGCTAAGTCAGCCCATCATCCTTCTCCGAGGATGCCATTCAAGAAACAAAGCACTGGGGCTGGGAAGGTGGCTCAGTGGTAGAGTGCTTGACTTTCATGCATGAGACCCTGGGTTCGATTCCTCAGCACCACATAAGCAGAAAAAGCCAGAAGTGAAGCTGTGGCTCAAATGGTAGAGCACTAGCCTTGAGCTGAAGAGCTGAGGGACAGCGCCCAGGCCTAGAGTTTAGGCCCCATGACTGACCCCCCCCCAAAAAAAAGTCTATGAGATACTTGCTGCCAATAAACTACTAAAGTACTAAATAAACAAATAAATAATAAGTATAAAAAAAGAAACAAAGCACTACTTTTTCTTTTCTTCTCTCTCTTTTTTTTTTT